CGCTTTGACGCTCCTGCCTTCGGCCCCTCCATCAGGGCGCTGGCGAGAGGCAGGGTGGAAGAAGGCCTCAGTTCTCCTCCTGGATTGTAACCTCCCGGGGAGCAACAATCTTCCTCACCCATCTGCTGTCCCCTGCACCCCCGAATGCTGAGCAGAAGGTCACACGTAAAGCAGAAGTTCAGTAACGGCTTGATTTCATGTTTGCAGATCCAGCCTCCCAGCCCCAGCACCCCCACCCCCCAGCTGTTCCTGCCCTCAGATCCCCCATTCGCCTGGCTCCTGGCAAAGGCCTGGGTCCGAAATGCCGACTTTCAACTGCACCAGCTCCAGTATCATCTGCTGAACACTCACCTGGTGGCCGAGGTCATTGCTGTGGCCACCATGAGGCGCCTCCCGGGGCTGCACCCGGTCTTCAAGGTACATGCTCTACCCTCCGTGTCCCCGTTCAGACCCCAGGGAGAGAGGAAAGAGCCCAAGAGCAAATGATATGGCAACAGCAAAAAATGTTTCTATCAGTTTGTGAAAGCAGGAGGGGGAGTCGAGAAGGAAGACTGTCTACCCCCGAAACTTGTATCTTCATTCAGTTGAGTCATTTAGTGTTCCTTCAGGACATCTTCCTGAAGGAGCCCTCTGAAATTCTCAGAGAGCTGCCGACCTGGCAAACGGCGTGGAGTCCAGCGGGAATGTTGTTAGTGAGACAACAGCCTTGTTCCTGCCTTAGGAGCTTCTCTACATAGCCAGGAGGGCAAGTGATACTCCTGAGAAACATCCAGAGACCAGTATCTGGAGCTAGAAATCACAACACAAACACCATAGAACTGACGGAGAATGTTCTACCCCAACCGAGGAGTTTGCCAAGTAGGAACAGATCAAAAGGCAAGGGGAACAACCCAGCAGGCTACTTAGACCTGCCCGGGAGACAGGTGCAGAAAGACATGCATCGGCAAGGTGGTGATTTGGATGAAAAGGAAAAAGAAATCAAAGACTTGGTCGGGAGGGTGGGGAGGGGGCGACAGCAGCTGCAGCGTGCCCGGTATCAGACCGGAGAAAGAAGGGCCAGAGGTCCACGGGGTGGGAGTGTTGTAATGACCTAGAAATATTGAAATGTGATAAAAGAGTGAGTTGAGTATCCATTGCTAGGCAGAAGGCAGCAAAATAAGACTTGTAGTTGCGTACAAATGTTCTCAACGTCTCGACGACACTTCAGGTAGAGGGGCGCGGCAGAGAAGGGACAAACCCGGGGTAACTATCAGAAACAGCACACTCGGGAGGAGAGCCAGGCCGGAAGCAAAGACGAGGGCTTCCGTCTCAGGTGCAAGGAGTTGAAATGTTGGCAAGATATGCACGTGAGTTTCAGCTGGGGGGTTTCAGCTGGAGGCTTCCCGACCCCCCCCCCCCCCAGCCTGGCCACTAGGAGCTGTGGCTTCTCTGAGTCGAGGACAACACAGACCAGATGGAGACCAGTGTGTGCCACAGAATCGTGGATCCTATAGCTCTCGGGGCGCTCCTGCGTCACCATCTTTTGCTCTTCGGGAATAGGCTGGGCTTCTATTCGTGCTCACGATCCCCTGTCATCAGGTCAGCCCTGTCCCCACCTCTGTCAACTTGGTCCCGTGGCGGATGGCTGGGCTGTTAGCAGTCCTACGGAGAGCGAAGGCTGCTGCGTCACAAAGGCTCCGCGCGCAGGCAGGCTCTGGATTCGGATGCTGGGGAGCGAATCCGGAATCCTGACCTCCTCCCAGATGCACGCTCAGGGCCCTCTTCTCTAAATGGGGACAACGGGAGCTCCACGGTGGGGTCGTGAAAGGATAGAACAACAAAGCATGACAGCGTGACAGCAGCTAAAAGCTACAAACTCCTTAGTTCTTGCAGTGACCATTCCCGTTTTTAGGGGTTGTTTGTGCTCAGGTATCTGCTCTGCTCCCGTGGACTCGGCTTTCTAGGACACTCGGCGTCTTTCGGGGACTTTCTGAAAAGTTTCAGACCAATGGGAGCTGCCTTCATATCCTGACCTCAGAGGCACCACCCGGGTCCTTCCCCGTGCGCAGCACCTACACCTCAGATAAATACCAACACCTGCACGTACACTGGGTGCAAACGAGACAGAACAGTCTGAGGCCAAAGAAGCGCCTGTGAACATCAGATGGCCTTCTTTAATAGCTAAGAAAAGGCTATTTGTTAAAGCTATTAAAAATAGAGGCACCTAACCGCCCAGCTGGGGGGGGGCGGCAGGTCTGACAACAGCCCCTCCCTCTGCTGTGTCAGCAGGCGGCTCGGTAGGGCCCCTCTGGGGACTCACAGCACCCACCCCCAAAAGGCACCTCGCACCCCCACCCCCACAGGGAAGCGGCCAGAGGATGGACGTGGGGCTCTGCTAGCGAGCAGAGAGGCTGGTTTCAGCTGTGAGGATGTGAAGGACAGAAGCACAAAAGTAGATAAAAAGGGGCTGATTCGACACCAACCCTCGAGGTGGGAATAAAGATCAATGGTAACAGGTCCAGAATGAGGGGCTCCGTGGGTGCTCGACGGTCTGCGCACTGCGGCCCCCAAGATGGGAGACCCCGTTATGACCCCCAGTCGACAGAGGAGGTGAGAGATGGGAGATGACACAGATTAATACTCGGAGGGTCCGTGACCCTGGACAAGCTCCAAAGTGAGTGCTGAAGTACTGACTGAAACGCGGGTCGGTCTGGCGCCAGAGCCTGCCACGCTGGGCAGTAAGAGGCAGGAGAGGGAGCGATGGCAGTGACTGGAGCGGCAGCAGACCGGCCTGGCCAGGCGGGGGCAGCAAGGAAAGCCCCCTGAGGGGAGAGGGCTGCCAGGCTGGGCGCCACGCCCCATGACGAAGGACCCACGTGGCCTCCATAACCACCCCCCCAACCTCCTCCACCCCAGCTCCTGATCCCGCACATCCGCTACACCATGGAGATCAACACCCGGGCCAGATCCCAGCTCATCTCAGAAGGAGGAATATTTGATAAGGTGAGGCGGTAATAGAGCGCTGCGGGGCGGGGCTGCTCATCACCCAGCTCTCCGTGACCTCCTGCCACTTTCAGGATCCCAGAGCGACCTGGGGGAATGTCCTGGCCCTTAAACCCGTGAGCCTGTCCCTTCCCACCCATGTCTGGAAATATGCAACTCCACCTCTGAGCCCCTTACACTCCGCTCCGTCCTGTCCCTCACGGCCTCTCATCTCTGTCGTGGCAGGCGGTGAGCACCGGCGGAGGGGGCCACGTGCAGTTGCTGCGTCGGGCCATGGCTCAGCTGACCTACCGCTCCCTCTGTCCTCCTGATGACCTGGCTGACCGTGGCCTGCTGGGAATCCCAAGTGCCCTCTACGCGCATGATGCTTTACGGCTCTGGGGGATCACTGCCCGGTGGGTGAGGGTGACAGATGACGAAGGGAGCCTCGCCGGGGCGGGGGAGAGCGGGGCTCTGGCCTGAGGTCAGCATGGGGCCAGACCCCACACGGAACCAAGAAGGGCCAGACAGGAGGAGCAGGAGCTCAACCCTGGGGCGACAAGGGAGAGTCAGGCGGCACTGGGGAAGGGTCTGAAGATGGGCAGACTGAGACCGGAAGGGCGGGTAGGTAAAGCTGTGGGTGGGCAAACCACGGGGTCTGGCGGGGTCAGGGAGCTTGTCAGGAAGAATGCCTTTCAGCCATGGGTCCGGAATTCCTAAAACGAATTCTTAAACTGTTTCCTTCCTTTCTAAACTAGTGTTTAGAAAGAGCTAGGGAATGTCCCCAGAGACCAGTCTCGTAAGATCTGTCCCCAGACACAGTGGGAGTCAGCCGGGCAGAGGCCCAGGAGAGGAGCAGAGGTTCTTCTCTCAGGAAGCTCACCCCCTTCCCCCTCTGGGCAGGTACGTGGAGGGCATCGTCCACCTCTTCTACCACAGGGATGACATCGTGAGAGGGGACCCGGAGCTGCAGGCCTGGTGTCGGGAGATCACTGAGGTGGGGCTGTGCCAGGCCCAGGACCGAGGTAGGATCCCTCCCCGGGGACGGGAGCCCCTGGGACACTCTGCCCAGAGCCCCTTCTCGGTCCTGCCCCTCTAGGTTCAGGACCCCCCAACCCCTCATCACACCCCCCTCTTCAGCCACGCAGGAAGCATCTGAATCCCATTCCCACCTCCTAAGACTCAAGGCAATTCTAGATACCGGGGGGTTGCCCTCCTCAGAGACCCTGGCCACCAACCTCTACTGTCATCCCCGAGCCCCAGGCACAGATGGCCGTCATCGGCCACAGCATGGAGCCCAGTAAGACCAGAACCACAGCCAGGGAGGGATCTGCCCAGGCCCTGCTGGGGCTCCTGTTCTCCTCATGGTTGTCTGTTTTCCCGCGTGAGGACAGAGATACACGGGAAGAGCTTCCTGCAAAGCCCATCACGTCCCACGCTGCTTTCCCTCCCTGCCCCTCTTGCCCGCTACTGTCCGGCACACACACACCGTTCTGGGTCCCACGCTGCCCAGTCACGTCCCGTGCAAACTCAGCACCGTACGTGCTCTGGCACCAACTGGAACCCCGTGCACGGCCCCTCGGGGCCACATTTCTGGGGCCAGTCCGGCCTCCCCTCCCCTCGGCTAGGATCTAGCCACCACATGGAGCACCCCCGCCTGCATTCTAACCTCTGGGGAAGGAACAGCCCTTCTCGAGCCCTTGCTAGGTTTGTCCTCCCCTCTCCGGCACACACGGGCCAGCAGGGATGGCTTTAGGTCCTTCCGGGGTACTGCCCCTCACACATCACGCTGCACCTCTGCCTCCGCGGGGTAACTCCAGACGTTTACTGGGGGGAGCCACTAACGGCCAGGCCCCAGGGACGCGGCCAGCAACAAACCAACACCTGCGCTCACCCTTCCGGGCCCAAACTTTGTCTTGGAGACCTCAGAACTGTCCCTCAGGTCCCCCAGGCCCCCGGAAGATCCTTCTTCCTCTCCCTCCCTGCTCCTCTTCTCCCCAACCACTCTCTATATTTGGAAAACAAAAATAAACACTCACATGTCAGCTTTAATCTCCACCAACTGCCTCTCATCCTCTCTTCCTCCACCCGCCTCGGTATCGCGCACTTTGCCTAATTTTCCCAACAGCCTTTTTAGAGGAAATGTGCTAAAATTAAAAATAGCTTGCGAGTGGCAGTCAGGAACCCGAGTTCAAGGTCACCTCTGCCTTTTCCCGACTATGCAATCCTGACAAGCGGTTTTATCTCTCTGGGCTTCGATTTTTTTTTTTTAATCTACAGAAACGGGGTGATTATATTTGTTCCTCTTAACCGACAGGATCAGTGGCTCTGAGGCACCACCTCCACTGTAGAATCAGGGGCCCGAGATAACGTTTGTGGAAAGCCTCTCTCGGCTGTGATACCATAAACACCCGACCTCTCCCGTTCCTCATTTTATAACTCAGGCATTTACAATCCCCTGTTCGGGAATAGGAGGAAGCGTCTCTAAATTCTTAACCGCTTTTTGAGGCAGAAGATATATTCGATCACTCAGACCTTTTCAGCCCCCGACCCTTCCATAATGACAGTAATTATTATTATTTACCAAGTATTTGTTATGGACCAGGTGATTTCAATACATTATCTCGTTTATAAGGTAGGAATCACCCACATTTTACAGGCGAAGAAATGGAAGTTCAGAGAGGTTAAGTAATCAGCCTAAGACACCCAGATTATATTGCTTGAACCTGAATTGAAACCCAGGTCTAATGCAAATACATTTGAACAAATAAACAAATGAACAGACACCCATCAATGCCAAAATACAGTTGATCCTCCAACAGTGGGGAGGGGGGGCGGGGGAGGAGGTGTTTAGGGGCACCAACCCTTCCCCACACACACCGAGCAGTCAAAAATCTGCGCATAGCTTTTGACTCCCCAAAAACTTAACTACTAAGAGCCTACTGTTGACCAGAAACCTTCCCAATAACGTAATCAATTCACCCCTATCTTGTGTGCCATATGCATTATAAACTATATTCTTTTTTTTTTTTTTAAGATTTTATTTATTTATTTGAGAAAGAGA